AGTTCAAGCTAACAGTGGGTCATCGCAACAACGGCCATTTTTCACAAGGAACGGACGCGAATAAGACGACAAGTAACCCCGAGAAGACACAGACAAAGCAAACAACAGATGCCAGCCAATCAAACGAGGCAGATGCTCGGTGTCTTATCAACAGGGAGGGCTAAAAAGTGTTCGTATTGATAATGTTCTACAAAAGAGCGCACAAACGTAAGGGACACTACACAGCATTGGATTTAACATTTATTGCTTTAAAAAAATACTATCTTTTCGGTTATCTAAGTAGATGTATGGTATGTTGCTACATCAAAAACCCATCGCCACTTGACTCAAAACAGAACCCCCACACTCAACCTCCTTTTCCCCCTTATCATATAAAAGAAATAACCATGCATCTTTCAACTAAGAGATCGAGTGCCTTTTCTCGGTGATTTGTCTAGACTAAAGTAGGAGTTTTATTTGTTTGATCTATTATTTTTTCTTCTTGTTGCACAAAGAGGGTTAGATTCATAGATTCACATTATCTCTTAATTTTTATGGAGAGCCGGAGATTGAGAGTGAAGATATCAGCCTGGCGTAAGGAGGTAAAAACTCGATACGCACCCAAATAAATTCTGAACAAAAACAGCCACAAACCACTGGCTTTGAAGAACCTGTACATTTTAAACCGTGATCACACAGCTCCAGCAATAGAAAACATCACGCAAAGACTGGGTTAAGGTGAAACTCTCAAAGCTAAGAGCGTCCCTAAAGAGATTAAAACGTCTTAAAATGCTCCTGTAAACCTTAAAAAGATTGTGTCTCCAGATTAACCCCAGTGAAGTGCTTCATGGATCCAAAAGAGCTGTGTCGTCAATAAAGTACAACATTCCTTGCATGTTTCTTTCGTTTTTGAACAATATTATTTAAATTGAGTTTTCGAAGGAAACGTGCAATCTAGCTTTTCGTTTTGAAGAGGCGAAATTAGGGTTGATATAATTCTTGTCTTTCTAAAAACGTTTCAATGTTCAGCTGGTGAAATTGAAAATAGTCACTGCAGTGTTTATTGTAGTTTCAGTGGTAGCAGCAACTTGAGAAAACAAAAGGAATACAGCCATCGCTACCACCATCATTAACATCATCACCACCTGAAGCACGGCAACAACAAACTAACAAAATAACAGCAGTAACAGTGACACCCAGGACTACTGAAATAACTGCAGTCAACGAAAACAGAAGTCAACGAAACAAGATCACTACAGCAACGACTGCAAAAGCCCTTGGAAGAACAACGTCTTTTAGAACAGCCAAATTTACCTCCAGCAAAAGATGTTAGCCATGTTTTTCAACAAGAATTGGCTAACGTCTCTATCGGTAAAACGTGCTAAATTACACCAACATTTCAGAAAACAGAAAGGGAGGGGGGGGGGTGTCGTACTGGAACGCCAGCCTTATCCAGCTAGCAAGGTTTCCGTCGTTTTTTTTTCAAAGAAAAAAGAAAAAGAAAGCCCACAGCATAACGAATTCCCTCCGTTGAGTGGAAATGAGGCTCTGTGCATTGTTGCCAGAGCCTTTGATGCTGCAAACAAGAAAACCTGCTCGAAAAGAATTTCATACCTACTCCTTCACGGCATTCTCTTTATGTGTCGAGTCAGAGCCCGATTGGTTTAAATAAACAATCGAACAGGCTTATCGGATGACACTGGTGGCAGATGAAACTTTTCTATTACAACAAATCTCCAGTGGGCTAAGATAGTTTGTTGGTTTTTTGGGTTGTTTTTTAAAAACATTTTTGCACCATTTTACAAAAGTTGCTCCAGACTATTCACTACCCCAGAATTACAACGTCGTATTTCTTCAGTATCTAGTTTTTGAGAAATTTGACTTTTAACTTCAAAACTTCTTAGTTTCACAATATTATGCCAAGCTCTTTCCAATGCAATTCTTTGATAACAACTTCGAATAATCTTACAATTTTGATAAAGCAGATAGAACATCTGGTTTCTGACCTCATGGTCATAGTAACTTTTCAAAACGGCCAAAAATGTCAGATAGAACTTTGTAATTCTAAAGTGGCGAATTGACTCCACACGAAAGAGCTCCACGCCAACAGAGGTATCGAAAACACCCCGAAAGTTTGATACACATTTCGAAGTGTTTGTAAAATGTGCAACACTTTAATTCAAAGAAACCATGAAGTTATCATTTGCTAAAGGCTCTGACTTCCACGGAAGGCTCGTGTCCAGTCGATGCATTAAACTAGGAATGTATGTTGCCTTGGATATCTGATAAGTATCTTAAGGATACAAAGTTAACTCTTAATTTGCAGAGCGAGAAGGGTACTTCGAAAGGTTTCTTTGATCTCGCTCTGCACACTTGCGCGCATGACGTCTGTCAGTCTCTTTCCCCTCCCATCTCCTCTCCTCGTGCCCCCTCCCTCTCTCTCTATCTCTGTGTGTGTGTGTGTGTGTGTGTGTGTGTGTGTGTGTGTGTGTCAATGTGTCTCTCTTTCTGTCTCTCTCTC